GTCGACTATAATAAAAATTTGAGAAAATAATGTCATCAACCTGATGAAAGATCCCAATCGTCAGAAGTCCCATAAATCTCCAATTTTTGACTTACGACCATTCTCAAAAAAAAATAGAAATTCCCATAATAATTAAAGTTAAGTTAAAGTTAGTTAAAAGTCTTTAGGTCTGAACATAATACATATACATATCCATCCACATATAGGCGCAAGCGTATGTGTGTATATTGTGTGTGGATGTGAGTATGTCTGCAAGTGGACAAATATGATTACACACACCCAGCGGAAGAGTCGCAATTATTGGCCGATTTTAATATTATTTTTTCTATTGATTTGTGAAATACTAGAACAGAATCCTATTATAGATTTTCAAATTGATTCGTTAAAACATATATTTTTTTAAAATTTCTTCTATAATTACTTTCTTTTTTCAGACATGATAGGTTAACATCTCCGCTTTAGTCAGTCACCATTCGGTTTCTTAAAGTTAGCTACAAGAAATACTGAAATAAATGCAAGCTTGCAGGAGGTGATAAAGCACAATAAAGAAAGAAAATTAAGTAAATATTTGGTAGTACAAAAGTTCACTGTTTTCGAGAAAGCGTATTTGAAAGTAGAAACAAAGACCAGTCCGATCCTGGCAAATCACGCAGAGAAAACGACAATGTAACGTTGCATTCAATCAGCTGATTTTAGTAGCATCAGTGATGTATTTCTTTTGAATTTGAATTATTTCTACTGTTTGTTATTTGTTAGGTTAGATTAAGTGTGATTCAAGATGATTATGTTACAGCCAACCTGCAGTAGTTATTTGTTCATTTAAAGTTTAACCTTATATGTAGTCAATTAATGTACAATTCAATAAACTATTTTAACAACATAACATCAATCATTAGACTGGGTCAGTACGTCACTGTGGAACAGCTGTTGTTACAATTATGTGACCCGAACCATAACACCGTTCTAGAAGACGAAATCCTTAATTTCATAGAAGACAACTCGCAAAATAGTACACGCGAAATACCACGAACCCTTAGCTCCTCTCGTGTGACACACAGGCAAATTTTAGAGGAACAGTTGATGCATTCCAACTGATTTTCAGCCCCGAGTTGATTTTTGTCAATATCGTTTCGAGTCCAACTTTTTCCATAGGATGTTGTTTACGAACGAATATTTCTTGACGAGGCGGAATTTTGAATTTTCATAAAAGTCACTACTGATGTAACGAAAATCCGCGTGTCGCGCATCCTTCGCGAATTCAACAGTGGTTTTTGGAAAATAATCATTTGTGTTCATACTTACACGTTGAAGTGTAATTTAAACAGTCCTGCACATTATTTGCGACGAGTAAAAGTTATTAATAATTAATTTTTAACGTAATAGGCGTCTAAACACTATGTGTAGTATACTTCATTTACTTTCTGTAGCGATGTGACCTTCAGTTTGACCGGCGCAAAGTAGAAAAGAACAGCACTAGGCCAGAAAAGGAAGGAGACAACTCTCGGCCAAACTCTTAACCGGTGAGGAGCGTATAATCCGTACAGTACTGCACGGAAAAATTGACCATTTTATCCACTACAATTGCATTGCTCAAATGTGCTGTTATTGGTACCATTTACTACTGAAAATATCAACGAGATGTTTATTTATATTTGAAGACATATTAAAGGCTTTAACGCTTGTTTTCGACTCGCACTACTATTCATGATTGAACAAAACTTTTGGCAGGTACTGTATGAAAAAGTATGTTTAATGAATAAGAGTCGAGAGTATAATGAGCTTTTTTCTCCCTACCTACGATTTTGTCAGCGCGCATCCAAGACATTGGAAGGGGCACATCGCTAGAGAAAGTAAATGAAGTATAGCTGTTGATGTTTATCCATTCGACAGCCGGCACTGTTTACATTCTCCATCCCACTTCGCTATAAGTACACACCTACGTTGTCAATCCACGCGCAAAACTGTATGTGGATTGTAATAATTTGCTGTAATTTTCTTAAAAAATATTTTGATCTTTAATCACGCTGTTGTACTAACCGCGCGATTTCTTATTTAATCTGGTTAACACCATCGAAAGCTCGGTACTTATTTCAGAAACACTCTGTATGTTGCGTGCTACGTAATTATAAAATAAACGTTTTACTAACTTTTGTTATTTGTATCTATTGTACTTTAGGTATAAACTAGTGTTACCTACATATCACAATCACCATTGAACATATATATATATATATTATAACTGTTACAATATCCACTTATTCATCTATGCATTTAGCTTGTTGCTATGTACCTACCTACATAAATGTGTATATTATAGTTAATCGATACATGCTTTTATTTTTAAAATGGCATTTACAAAAAGCATACCTGCAAATGAATCAATCGGGCAAAAACAGCATAACAAAGAAATCCATTCATATTTTTTCCTGTCAGTAAATCATTAAGAAATACAAAAACAGCAACCGATTTTTTTTTCTTATTTCATCTGAACTTTATGATGTTCTTTGTTACCGGCAAGTCGAAAAAAGATAATTGAAAGTAAATTCATTCTAAACAATAAAATGATTGTTTTCAAGGTGTCAGTTTTTCAATCTACTACCTGGGACGTATTAAACAATACGTCATTAATAGTTACCTATACTTCACTAGTACCGTACACCTACTTTAATTATTTTTGGTTTGACATACCATTACTTTGCTAAAGACCGGTAAAATTTACTTGGCAACTTATCAAACAGGGTTTCCTACAAACACGAAGGAATTTTCTGCTAACAAACACACAGCTAATATTTCCACAAACAGAACCTAATGCCGAAAGGAAAATAAGTATTACTAACTTTACACATAAAGCATGTTTAGATGAATTCCAGAATTATCTCCTTTAGTCATTATTCAATTAATCATATTATACCCCTCGCACACGATATTTTAACACTGAAATAATTTTTAGTGTCGAAAACTTCAAAATTGGAAAGTTTTCATCAATTTCTTAAAGGGTACTTTAATATACAGGGTGATTCAAAACCTACAGTGTTGATTGTAGTGTCAGCTTATAGGGACACACATTAGGTTATGGCTGACGTAACTCGCTAGTACTAAATCACACCGTAACGAGCGTTAACGGCAGTTGCATTAAAGATGGCTGCCTCCACTGAATCCGAGCACTGTGTGTTTTAGTTTGAAACATTAAAGTCAGCGACAACAATGCAAGTTAATTTCCTAAAGATTCTCCTAGTAGGCCTAGTAATTTTCTTTTTAAAAACAGGGTACTCGGTAAAACATATGAAATCATCTATCATCAATATCTAATGAAATCGTTGAGCAAGTGATACAAAGTTTTGTCAACAGCCCTACGAAATCGACCTGGGGTGCTCCTCGCGAGCTGCACGTTCCACAGACGATTATGACGTGTGTTAAAAACACGTTTGCATTTAAAACCGTACAATTAACGACTGTATTTCAAAGTTGTAAAGTCCTTTAAGAGTCACCCTGTAGGTATTATGAGTTTAAATATGGTTTAATAATTTTCGGTTCGTACAGAAGTTATGCGAAAATGGTCATAGAAACATCAACTTTTTATGTTTTATGTTAGAAAATAGTAATTTCCTTGACACCTTGGACAGGGCAAGAACCACCCCTAAAATTTCAAGTAGCAAGAGGGGGGTCGAGTGATACATCAAATTAAAGATTTTTGGAAGAGCCTTATGGTGATATCAAAATTTGTTTCATTAAAAGCAACTGTTACCGACTAAACTTTTTTTTCTGTATGACAAAGTTACATCTTAGATGCCTAATGAGCATTCTCAAAAAACAATTCGGACATATCAACCTTCCCTACAATCGAATAAACTATTTTTGATAATAAATTGACACGAAAACAACTTCTCTGCGAAATACTTACAGGTAAAAACGGTTCAAGAACGATTTGACACCAATATTATAGTAAAAAACATCAAGCTGTTGTTGATTATGAATTATCAAGAATAGCTAGGTCGTTTGTAACTTAAAAACGAAAAGAAGGAATGTTAATTTGGACGTACTAAAATTTTTTTTAATGGATAAACTCAGAAGTAACTAATTTAGTCGCCAACAGTTGCTTCCATCTAACAAATTTTGGTATTATCAAAAAGCTGTTTCAAAAACCTTTATTTTGATGTACCACTCGAGCTCTTTGCCATTTGAAATTTTGGGATGGTTTTTACCTTGTCCAGGATGTCAAGGAAATCACCATAAACGTAATATAAAACTTAAAAAAATAACTCTGCATCATTTTCATTAGCGCACCCTGTATAATATAACGTATGTATGTATGTATATCTTTAAATACCATACCATACCATACTCTAACAAAGTTAATCAAATATTAATGAACTGGATATAAACAACTCATTTTGCTATTTTACAGTTTTACAGTATCAAGAGGACAAATTAATTGCTGCATTACATATAGATTTATAAAAGTCATTTAAAAAGATATAAGTACCTAAGTAAACATTTGAGCAAAATATCATTTCCAGGTTACACTTTCATAGCTAAATTAATTAATATTTACGCATAAATACTCTAATATTTGTGTAACTTCAGCCTTAACGATTTTCTTTGTTGGATAGAACTGAATTTTTTATTTAAAAAACAACACAAAATTAGATACCTACCTACCCAAGAATATAACAAATTACAATAAAACAATTCCAGTTAATTGCCAAACAGAACAAAAACCAAAACTGTGTGCGAATAAAAAAGTAAAGCAATAAATTATATCAATATTACACAAAGAAAAATAAAATACAAAATTAAATGTCTCTAGATTTGCCTATTTAGTTTATTTCCTTTATCACTAGGATAAATAGAAAATATAAATTTTTTCATACCGGCCGGCTTTAAAAACAAGTCAATCTTGTTTAATGTAAGGTTCATGCGCATAGAACAAAGCAAACCCATTAACCTAATATTATGCCCCCCTCTATAAAAAAGAGAACCACAAAAAAACAACCACTTACTATTGACAAGATAAAACGTCTGGGAAAACAGGAATCAGCCTTGCAATTGCACACTTTAAAACAATATTGACAAATAATGGCGAGGAAAGAAACTACAAACACACCATTTCACCAGCAAACTGAAGTCTCGAAGAAGCCGGCTGTTCGATACGCTTTGACAATGAACTCAGCTGACTAGGACAGGTTGCGCAATCGCAGAGAACGTGAAAATACCTATGTACATCGTTCTTCGTTCGAAGAAAAAGCAATTCTGCCCTATAATGACTAATAGAAAACGACATTCAAACGTTTTTTTTAAATTCAAATCTTTTGCAGCTTTCTAAAATGAAAAATGCATCTCAATCTTATCTCACTGTTTGCATCGACCGTTGTATTAGTAAATAACGAACAGATGTTAAACGTCAAAATCAGCTGTTCCGTTTGGTAACCAAAACATTTACTGCTTTTGTTGTTCCGTACGACTATAAAAAACTTGACGGTCATTTGTAAACGTCGACGGCGCGGCGCTGTTACTAACAATCGATCGTTTGAAATGCTTTAACCTATGATACGGTATAATTTATACCATAAATCATCAAATAAATACCCACGTAATCTATGTAATTTTTCAAAATCCGCTCAGTTAATTAAATTATAAGATCAATCCCACCACAAAGTAACGGACGATCACAACACAGGTATTTAAATGACATTTTAAAAATTAGACATAACAGTTTTCAGTCATTCAACTGGTTTTATAAAAAATAAAAAAACAAAGTTTTAAAATCTGCGTATTTGGCGGTAAACAAGTAAGAGTTAAAAATCTCTTTGCTTTATTAATATATCGAGTGGGGTACGGCAAAAAAAAAAATCACTTAAATTGTAAAAATGCGCATTGTTGAAAAATCTGTACCTGCTTTATCAAAAGGTATTTTAAAAATGGAAACCTTTCTGTTAAAGGAAAGTTTAAAACAATAGGTAACTGATGAGATGAAATCAACGAAACAAAGATAGATAATCAGAAAACAACATTCATTAAAATAATTTATTACAAGTATAAATTATACATTAAAATTACAGCAGATGCGATATACATATTGACAGTGATCTATTTCCATTAATAACACAATAAATTAGATTTACTTTTTCGTCGAACCATTACTGGACACTTGGTGACATCTTTTGGTCGCTGCTTCAATTGCCCCAATCAAAGCGGCTCTTAAACCTGCAATATCAAAGAATTTAAAATTTTTAATAATAGAAAATATTATATAACAAAGGTATAGTTTTCATATAAAGAAAGTNAAATCTTTGATCTTTAATAACTCACGTGAATATCATAATTTGATGCTCTCCTCTCTCTATCTTACATTTAAGATATATTCCGTGCACTCCCCAAATATAATATAAGGTAAATAATAAACAAGCAGATGTATGTACACAGTTGACCAGTATTTTATCGAAGCAGTCTGCACCGTGCTGACAAGATCGAACAGATCGAAGTCGTGATCCACGTCTGACAGTTTTAAAAGGTTTTAACAGGTGTCTGTTTGAAGACTTTGACAACTTAAAGTGACTTAGGAATATGTATCACGAAAATCAATTTTTAATTTTTTGCTTTTTGATTTGATTGCATGGCCCAGAGATTTAGGTCATTTTTCGAGATTTTCGAGAGGACCAGCATTAGTAGATGGTGTAAATGGAACACCCAAAAGTTTTTTTTAATTCAAATACCATAGGCAGTTAACTTTTGGAAGCGTACCTTCTTTTAGGGGTTTCTGTAGTGTAAGAGTTCGACTGGTACTTAATGAATTAATCAAACTTAACGTGTATGTATACGTATTTATACATATATATTACATATATGTGCAGATTAACTGAAGTTCCAAAAACCAGAACATTCAGAATCACTTGAAATTTCATAGAAACATTCAATTACCTCCAAAATACAGTAAGTAAAGAGAGTTTTAGCAACTAGAACCGTGAAAGGGCGAAAAACATTTTTTTTCCAATCTCTTCATAATATGTACTTTCAAAATTCATAATAACAAAAACAACAGCGTGATTTAAAAAAATAAAGTTATGCTAAAATACTACGTCTAAATTTTTAGCAACTGCTTCCTCATGTCCCCTTTTTGTCCTTGTTGTTGTTTATACATCATCATCATCATAAGGTCATCAGTCCTAAGACTGGTTGCACACGTACCTCCACTCTTTCCTATCCTGAGCTAAACTTTCCCTAAAACTAGAACAACCCACATCCTTAACTATTTGCGAAGAGTAATCTAATCTAGGTTTACCTCTACCCCTCCTAACTCCTGTTTCTGCCTCTAATATGTCTCTGACTAGACCTTCATGCCGCAGAAGGTGTCCTACCAGCCTATCTCGCCTACTTTTTATTGACTTCCATAGAGTCCTCTGTTCTCCTATTCTTTCCAATACCTCTTCATTTCTAACCTTTTCTACCCACGATATCCTTATCATCCGCCTATAACACCACATTTCGAACGCTTCTAACCTTTTCTTTTCCGCCGCTCCCACTGTCCATGTTTCGCACCCGTACAAGAGACTATTAATTACGACGTCGACATTGCCTTTTCAATATCTCAAAGCAAGCCCTTCAAGAGCATATTATCCACGAATAAATGGCTAGTGGCTACAAACAGTGAAATGTTGGAATCGCCATAAAAATGTATCTACCATACAATATTAATAGGCACGATAGGATGGTAGAACATCTTCTCAGACGTGAAGGTTTAGTCAGAAACATATTAGAAGCAGAAACAAGAGTTAATGGAAGTATAGGTATAGACACCACATTTCGAACACTTTTAACCTGTTCGCTTCCGTCGCACCCACCGTCCAGCACCGTACTTCAGACATATAGCACAGTGAGTGAAGTTAAAAATTAACTATTACCTCCGATTTCGGTGAACCTCCATCGATTTGCATGAAAATTTGGGATTGAGTATATTTTACCCTCAACTTCAAAAGTGACATATGCTCGACTTGCGCTTTTTGCATTTTAGAGGTGAAATCCACCCCTTTTGTTAAAGATGGGGAAAAATTCAAATTCAAGCATTCTGGCGTAAGTAATCTCGTTTAATTAGATAAAATAAATATTTTTCAACACTTATATGCATAATTTCTGATTTTAATTAATTTTTCAACCCATTTAGCAACCACCCCTTAAATCGAAAATCATGAAAAAATAATTCTTTTATCATGTATGATTTGTGAGCATGTACCTATCGACACGTCTACTTCTTACTATTTATCTTTTTTCCTAATATACATACAAAATCTTTGCCTCAAAAAGTTTTCCAAAAAAATGTTATTGGTTTTTTTACAATAACTCAATTTTCAACCCTTTTAGCAACCACCCCTAAATAATGAAAAATTCATTTTTTTATCATGTATGATTTGTGAGCATGTACCTATCGACACGTCTACTTCTTACTATCTATCTTTTTTCCTAATATACATACAAAATCTTTGCCCCAGAAGTTTTCCAAAAAAATGTTATTGTTTTTTTTACATTAACTCAATTAATTTTTATGATATCAGGCTCATCTAAAAACAATTTGAGAGTGATATTGTTGCCGTAACAAGCGATGGGCCAAACGTAATGAAACAATTTGGCAGAGAAAGCCCCTGTGAAATGGTTCTATGTGTAAATCATGCCATCCATTTAGCGATTCTCGACACATTTTGCAAAAAACAGTCAGAAGTTACAGCTGCTAGGAATGCCTTGCATAACGATAACGAACACAGCAGCTCCGATGAAACCAGCAGCACTGATAACGATGATGAATCTTGTATATCTTATGAAGAACCTAGACCGCAAATAATTGATGACATAAACAATGTAATTACTGAGACCCGATCGATTATAAGATTTTTCAGAAAGAGTCCTCTAAAATCAATCACACTGCAGAAACATGTAGTAGCCGAATTCGGAGTAGAACTAGTTTTGTTACTCGATGTCAGAACTAGATGGAATTCAATGCTGACAATGATTGAACGTTTCTTGAAATTAAAAAATGCAATCAAAAAGGCACTTATAGATTTAGATAGCTCACAAAAATGGAATGAAGATAATATTACTGTGCTACAAAAACTGCAGAAGATATTAACACCAACAAAACTTGCAGTAGAGGCGTTGAGTAGGCAAGATGCCAATTTATTGACCGCAGAGGCTATAATAGACGTATTGCTAAAAAAATTAGAAAGTATCAATGATCCTTTGGCCCTCAAATTAGTAGATTCACTTAAGTTGAAAATATCAGAGCGCCGTAATACGTCTCTAATATCGCTGCTAAAATACTTNTATACATTCAATTACCTATAGCTCACTTTGAATTAATATTAAAAGTTTTTTTAAGAATGGAGTTTTTTCGTTGTTTTTTTAGCTTCAATTTTGGTAATGACAACTTTTTCGTAAAACCTTATAGTTTTTGAGTTATTTATCAAAAACCGCTTTAAAACATGCATTTTTTTCACGAAAAATCAAAATCTTTGATCATTAATAACTCAAAAAGTATTGATTTATTTTAATAACTCTCCAGAACAAATTTTGCTTACAATTGGTCCCTCTATCGATTTCTGGGGTTATTTTTCATAAAATAATTTCCACCCCCGAGAAGGGGTGGCATCCACCCCCAGGGTAAAAGCGCAAGTTGGCACTATGTCACTTTTGTTTCTTGAGGTATCCTCTAACTACTCACCAGTTTTCATGAAAATCAATGAGGGTTCAACGAAATCAGAGGTGAAAACCTTCAGTGACTATACTAATACACTTTTAACAATATTATTTGTAGCAAAATACACACATTCCTCAAATAACATAATTACATAATATTAGAGGAAAACAAGACATGATATACGAACCTAACCCAACAATCAAGAGGTGCATAACATTAAAAGTAAACAAAAAAATTATGCACTTCCTCAAGATTAGACCATAGTTAATTGACAATTGCAATAAGCAGAACGACTAAACAGATGACGGGTTGCTCAATTATTTATGAACAGGTAGCGACCTGCTAATTCATTTCTGCATCCATCCGACTGAAGTATCGGAATGTAACATACAGGGTGAGTCATAACAATTCAGACATAGACTGGTTATTTGGACCAAAACATTAACATTGGGCCAAACACGCCTTAACCCCTAGAGACAACCAAATACCGTTATAAGGCATCGGTTAAAATGTGGGAACAATTTTTGGACAGGGCCGAATCGGCTCCCAAAATAGCAAGTAGATAAATCAACGATCGAATTGGCACCCTGGAAGGGCAGAATGTCTCCCCTCCTCTTAATAGACGTTGCTAATGAAAGTCAATTATGTTTATGTATTAGAAAATAATATAAATATTGAACATTGTTATGTGCAAAATTTATTGTGTTAGCAAAATTAGAAACCTTAAAATATCGACAGTTATATGTTTTCTGCTCATAAGCAGTTAAGTGGTAATGTACAATCATCATCATCATCATAAGACCGTCAGCCCTAATACTGGTTAAACACGCACCTCCACGCATTTCCCTAAAACTAGAACATCCCACATCCTTAACTATTTGCGAACAGTAATCTATTCTAGGTCTACCTCTACCCCTCTTAACTCCTGTTTCTGTCTCTAATATACCTCTACCCCTTTTAACTCCTGTTTCTGCCTCTAATATGTCTCTGACTAGACCTTCATGCCTGAGAAAATGTCCTACCAACCTATCTCGCCTATTTTCAATTGGGTTCCGTAAAATCCTCTGTTGTGCTATTATTTATTTATTTATTTAACAAAATTGCTGGCAACAGCATAGCTGATTTTCTCATCTATTAAAGGTGCTGTCCTTTTTTTTTACATATTTCGGTGTTTTTTTTGTAATACAACATACTAGGTTTTCAGATGACATATATATGTCTAGTTTATACACATGTCTGGTTTATTTTTAAAGGAGTTTATTGTCTCACTGTTTATGCACTTATCTGGTAGAGAAATCCAGCAGTTGGCCACTCTGTTTGCCAGGAAATGCGATCGTTGTCCTATCCTTGTTCGTTCCTTCCTTAGTTTCAATCGGTGTCCACGAAGTCGGCTGACGTCTGAACGTAGGAAGATTTTGTGATAGTCATGAACATTATAGAAATCATTTAGAATTTTAAATACTTCAATCATATCATTCCGCTTCCTTCGGTACTCCAGGGTTGGGAGATTCTTTTTCCGATATCTGTCTGAGTAACTCATATTTCTCAGCTCTCTCGGAATCCTCATGACCAGTGATTGGACTCTCTCTAGATGTTTCTTGTCCTTTTCGTAGTACGGAGACCACACCGTATCTTCATATTCAAGAACTGGTCTCACAAATATCGTGTAGATTCTCGCCGTAGCGGGAGCTTTGAGGTTAAAAAAACCCGTCTTATAAGGTACAGTATAGAGTTAGCGCGTTTGGTTACTGCCGCTACATGTCTTTCCCATTTAAGGTCCTGCGTCACAAAAACACCAAGATCTTTCTGGGCAGAGCTGGTTTGAAGGGGGTGTCCAGCAAGATGGTCCTCTAGTTTCAGGTTGTTTTTCTCTAGGTGTAAGACTGAACATTTATCGTTGTTCAAAGGCAAGAACCAAATCGAAGACCATCTTTCCAGTGCTTCCAGATCAGATTGCAGTTCAGCATGTTTCACTAGAGGGTTAGCAAATAGTTTAGTGTCATCTTCGTAGCTTTGTAAGCCCGATTCAACTTCAATACCCAAGTCGCTGGTATCCAATATGAACAGGATTGACCCAAGCACAGATCCCTGAGGAACCCCACTCGTTACCGGTCTTTCAAGAGATGATCTACTATTCAAGAGATCATCTACTTATTTCTAATACTTCTTCATTTCAAACCTTCTCTATCCAGGGTATCCTCACCATTCGCCTGTAAAACCACATTTCGAACGCTTCTAATATTTTCTTTTCCGACGCGCCCACAGTCCATGTTTCGCACCCATACAGCGCCTAGATCCTAACATACACCTTTAACAATCTTTTTCGAATTTCTATATTAACCGTTTGCGAGCATAGAAGTGATTTCTTTTTATTAAAGGCAACTCGACCCTACACTATCCTCTGGTTTATATCGCTACTACTCCTTCCCTCCTTACTTATCTGACTTCCTAGATACCGAAAATCAGCCACTTCTTCTAATTTTTTATCCAATGTACAATAGTGGATATTAAATGATTTCCAATTGCATTCATATATAAAACAACCAGGCGCATTAGTAGTTAAAAAATTGTATGACAGACAGGTTTTTAATAAGTAGACAGAATTTTATAAACACAAAAACTTTGGAAATTTGTAAAGTATATTTCTTATTATTTTAAATTTAATTTAACCTTTAGAAATATTATTATTATATATTACAATAACAACTTAATCGGAGAGAATCAATTTAGATAAGCATAATTAATGCAACCTCGACCACGTGGACCGACCGGGTGCCAATTTGTCCTTCCGTATTCTCGTGACCTTAAAATGACTTTCGGGAGACAATTCGGCTCTGCCGGGATTTTTTTGTGGCTTCGAATCGTTAACAATATGATGTGGTAAGAAATTGTTCCATCGTGCCAACAAGCAGGTGAAGTAGTGGTACAATTATTGTTTAAACAAGCCTCTAAGGGTTAATAAAATGTTACTGTGGAAAAAGATACAGGGTGTCACAGCTGAGATATTGTTTTCGTTTTTAGGTAATAAATTCGCAAGATTTTCGTAAATCGATATCAAAATTGGCACAGAAGTATAACTTTAGACAAAAAATATTATTTCACTTACTAATATTCACTTTATTTCAGGGGCGCAACATGAGCCACCTTTGAGGAAGAAATTGTGTCATATTATTTTGATGAAAATTTTTGCTAATTTGTCATTCTTATGTAAAATTGTTACGCTTGTTTTAACTTGCTAATTTCAATCGTTTCGAAAAACGCAGTTTAATATTTCCAATTCGGAAGTGAATTTTAAATAAGAAGCAGTAGAACTTCTAATTTAGAATAATAAACAAATAGGTTAAAAATAAAAATAGTAGATTTGAATTGTATTTTTTTTTTGTGTGGACTCCTATTACTGTGCTTTTTCTAATTTTTCCGATAAAGGGTTTTCTGACATTAAAAAAACTATTAATTAATATCTTGTATTTTTCGCCGGAGGTCATTTTGTGAAGGAATTTCAGTATAAATAATTATAAACTAAGATGTCCAAAAATAGAAATCCATCATGAGTTCTTGGTGGCAATGAAAAATCACTTCCTCTGTCAGTCATAAACCACATTATTGATCTAGTGAGATCTAGATAATCTAAAATATTATCAAAAGTATTTTGTAGAAAAACTAAATTACTGGAAGCTGCACTCTCGAAAACGCTTGAAATTATCAAGTTAAAGAATGTATAAACAATTTCACGTAAAAATGATGTTTATATCGTGTTTTATAATCAAAATTACTAAAAACTTTTGTCAAAAAAGGTATGGCTTAATTTCATCCTCAGAGATCCTTGATATGACGACCCCTGTAAAAGAAATGTAAAATAGTAAGTAAAATAAAATTTCTTGCCTAAAATTATACCTCTGTGTAAATTTTGATAACAATTTACGAAAATCTTATGAAATTATCACTAAAAAACGAAAGTAATATATCACCTTTAACACCCTATATTTTTCTGTTTCGGTAGTTATGACTTGTCCTGTATAGTACATAAAAAGCAAATTCTATACCGACGCGAAATAAAAAGAAATAAGAAACCCTATGACATTTTTAATTACTAATAGTGGTTAATATGCAATATAAATGTAAACATTCATTGTCGATTTTCTATCCACTATAAACTTCCTCAGGTTAATAAGGAAAAATATTTTTGTTGCTGTTGTCACACCCCCGCCGGGAATCGAACCCGGGACTTTTGACTTTACTCACTAATGCTCTGACCACTAAGCTACGAACAACCACGACAAACCGAGCACGTAAAGCTGAAGGTCCCGGGTTCGATTCCCGGCAGGGGTGTGACAACAGCAAAAAAAATATTTTTTCGTCATGTTAGCGCGGAAAGCTCGTTTTTTGCATGCTATGAAATAGGGAAGAAATGGCCTCTTTTCAGCCGTGTTTTAGTCAGGAGGCAATGAAATTAGCCTTTTGAGCGCATGCGCTGAAGTTTATGGGCATGCGCAGAAATCAGTTGTTCAATGACCATGTCTTTCTAACCTCTAAATCATTTACTCTTATTTCGCCAATTATCAATTTAATGACGAGCTTTCCGTACAAACAACAAAAAATAGCCTTCGGCTCGGGTGGCAATTCACATGCAGTCTGAAATAACCCTGTTTCTTCCCTCGATACGTAATATACTATTCCTCATTAACCTGAGGAAGTTTGTAGTGGATAGAAAATGGAAAATGAATGTTCACATTAACATTAGAAGTAAGAAACTATATATTGAAAAGCGAGGTACGTAGATAAATTGGATAGCTGCCTAGTCATTGTAGAAAAATTTAAGAAATGAATAAGAAAGGCCCGTTGTATATTTATAAGCTAGTAAAGGTCATAGTTGATTTTCGACACACGTGTAACAACAGTTTTATGAATAAAACAAAAATGTAGATCACTTGTTAATAAATTTTCGCAGTTGTGACTACTTTAAATAAAGAGCTTTAGCATTAAAGACACCTTGTTACATTCAAAATATTTAATTTAAGTTTAATAAAAAAATTTAGTTTGCCTTTTTCTTCAAGAAAATGTAATCCTGACGCTGTAGAACCTGCGGGTGATGTAACGTTGTCTTTGAGAATTCCAGGGTGAGTATTAGTGTCTAACACCATTTTCCCGGATCCTAAAACAGTTTGGGCAGCCAAACGATAAGCGAGATCTCGCGGTAATCCCATTTTGACACCTCCATCAGCCAAAGCTTCAATTATTACATATATCTAGAACAAAATCCTTGCGTAAATGATAATCGTTTTACTTGATTGTGATATTATAATTTATTGATTATTGTTATGAAAAATAATAATTTCGTTGCTGAAAAATGTGATCTGAGTATGCTTTGGATAATTTTATTTAATTCAATTGTTTCGATTGTCACAAAAAGTTCTTGTTACGACAGTGCCGTGCTGGAAATAATAATTTGACAACATTTAACGCGAAACCACAATTTTGTAAAATAATTTTCTAAAACATTTTACAATATTGAATGATTCTTTACAAAGTGATCCTGTCTCAATTGTGTTTAAGTACTACAATTTTTTACAACATAGTACTGGGATTGGGACAGTATCGTAGAATATCCTTGATAATTGTTCAAAGTTGTGCTTCATTAAAAATTTTTAAATTACGCAATATTGTTGATAAACTACAACTATTTATGCCTCAAACGTCTACAATTTTCTATAATGTTCTAAGACTAAGCTCAACCTATTCTCCGCCTAATTACTATGATAGTTACAAGAGACTTCTTCTTTCAATTTTATTACACTAAATTTGTCAAATGTAAGGGTTGAAAAATAATTTATTGAAGTGAAACTTCTTTACTTCTTAAGGTAAGTTCGCTTCATGCGAGTTGCTATGTAACGAAACCATGCAACGGATGTCCCCCTTCTACTCGGCCACGTAGTCGAGTTCGTAGTGGGAATCGCTTGATCCGATAGTGCACAAATAATACCATTAAACTAATTCCTTAACCCCTATCCCGATATATTTGTGTGTTTGAAGAAGTTTCACTTCAGCAGCTTGCTGTATAATTACACGTTGTTTTTTTTTTTATATGAGACGTTACGAGTTGTTAATTTTCATTAAATGTTGTAGTATTCTATTAGGAACTACAACAAACTATGCATTCTAACGTGTGGCAGACAAAATTTCTCCAAGTCGCACATGATACGTTATATGTTGTTAAATATAATAAAAAATTGTAGTGTTTTACGTAGGACTACAACAAACTACATGTTTGTCTGTCGGAGACCATTTTTTCGATTTTTATATGAAACGTTACTAGTTATTATTAATTCCCATTAAATGTTGTAGTACACCTATTACAAACTGTAACAAATAACTATTTTCAATTTTACACAACAACCTTTGAGTAGTAAGTTGTTATTTGCTGTTAGAAATTTCTGTCTTCAACAACCTTATACAATTTATAAACATGGAACTGAACAGTGAGTTTTTGTATTACCTTAGATGTAGTAGAATTTTGTGATGACGAGTTACAATTCTTTCTAATTTTCTACAACTGCAGGAAACATTGTAAGAAATTGTTAATTGTTGTCCTGTTGTGTATTTTGCTGTAGATATATTTAACTTCCCATTAGGAAGTTATTGTAATTGGGTCGAAAAGTGAAATCGGAATTTTCATTATATTTCCACGTTTTAACATATTAGTAGCATGCTAGCCAATTTTTTTGATGATGTGTGTATGTACGTACGTACGTACGTACGTACGTACGTACGTATGTACGTACGTTCGTATGTCAGCATTTTTTTCGTTTTCGATATCTCAAGAACGGATTGAGATATCGCCCTCAACCAAAATTTTTTCGAAAGATATTATCATAATGAAGATCTGAAAGAAATTTGAACGAAATCGGTCAAGCCGTTTTTTTTTTATAAAAAAAAAAACGAATTAATTACAAACAATTTAATTAAAATACGTTCTAATCTAATCACAACAATGAAGTTACGGAATCAATAATAACGAAATATCATTATTCAAGACAGGGAATAACATATTATAATAACATATTATAATAAAAATTTGTTTATAACAAAATGAATTGTTATAAACAATCGATAAACAATAAAAAATAGTATTTACCAATTGACTGATGCAAGTACTCTATCAATTCGGTTTTCTCAGACGAAATACTGTTTCTTATGGGTTTATAAAATGACGAACTCTCAAACATTGTTTGTTATTTATTATTGTGCCGCGTTTTTTTCAAACTTTAGAAACGAATGTACTTTACAATAACTGTATTATCTAATGGGAAGTTAGTCGTATTAGCACCGATCAAAGTGTGCTCAGACCAATTTTTCCACCAAGGTGTCACCTCATAGCACTGATGATTATTCTAATTGTGATTTACTGAATTTATTTTATTTACATGGACAATACCACAAAGTAATAAGCAGAACATGTAAGTAGTTGAGTATAAATTTACCTTTTAATGAACGAAGATATTTAATGGTGCAATAAAATACAAGGTGTTTCGTTTAAACAAAATAAAATAAAAATGCCATCAGTTTTCTATAAACGTCTGAATTAGTCAGTGATTATGTGCCACCCTCTATATATGTAAATAGCTATCAGAAAAACGTAAACGTCTTTAAGGATTTTAACGAAATTCATAAGCCAAGGGTGTTTTTGGCTGGGAATTAGACTTAGACTGTTTTCAAGCAGTTTTTATAGAGTAAAACTGAAACATGCTGATATTTTATAATTAAATAAAAATAGATTCACCTCGTAAAAGTATTTGAGCTCGGTTTGAAATAGTCGGAATTTTAAGAAAAATCCTTTTCAAATATTTTTACTGCTACAAAACCTGTCACTTGACAGGTAATTTAACACCAATTAATATTAAAATATATAGCCTAATATACACTTTTAATACAATGCATACGAAGTTTGGTCAAAAAGTATCACGAATTTTGAATTTCCGCGGGTTACGTATATACAATTTTCGATTGCTTGTGACGAGGACCGAGAAGAACAACAAAGAACAACGAAGAGCGTGCCAGATGCCCGAGTACGTCAACAACAGACGAAAACGTTGAACCACCGTCAGAGAAGTTGCTGAGAACTTAAGGTATGAGACGGGTCACAGCGAAATTCGTACCAAAATTGCTCCATTTCGACCAAAAACAGCATCGCATTAATATTGCTAAGAAGCTCTTGGACCCAAATTTGCTCCAGAGAGTCATAACTATGGTTATCACGTGGAAACCAAAGTTTAATCATCCCAATTGAAGCTTCCACATGAGCCAAGACCGAAAAAAGTGCACCAAGTTAAGTCGAATGTGAAGATTTTGCTAACAGTTTTCTTCGATTGCAGGGGCGTGGTTCATCCTGAGCCACAGGATAGAACGATTAATAAGGAATATTACCTGCAAGTTATGCTCAATCTGCGCGAAGCAATTCACTAGAAACGCCCGGATTTGTGAAAGAACAAAAATTGGCTTTTGCACCATGATAACTCCCCTGCTCACACATCGTTGCTTGTGAGCGAATTTTTGGCCAAAAACAACACACTAATAATGCCGCAGCCACTGTATTCCCCAAATCTGATCCCCTGTGACTTTTTTTGGTTTTCTAAACTGATGAGGCCCATCGAAAGAGGAGCTGAACAAGATCACAAAAAATTATTTTTTGAAGTGCTTCGAGGATTGGAAAAACGTTGGCACAAGTGTATAATGTCTGATGGGAATTACTTTGAAGGGGACAAAATATTGATTATTATCATGAATAAATAAATATTTTTTTAAAAAACACAAAATTCGCTATACTTTTTGAACAGACTTGGCACACTAACCGAACGAAGTCAACAACCTGATACTATAATGTAGCAGAGGTACTGTTTTGCGAAAACAACAAATATTATCCAGAAAAAACTATATTTTTAACTGAAATGTGTTAGTGTTATACTTACATAGGCCGGTCCTGAACCACTGAGTGCGGTAATAGGATCTAAAAGATTTTCAGTGACTTCTTCACATGTTCCAATCGAAGACAACAACTCCTTGGTGGTAAAAGCATCTTCATCAGTAACATTGGATCCCCTGACAAATACTGAAGCCGCACTTCTGACTAGAGCTGGTGTGTTAGGCATTACACGAATTACCCTAGAATCCCTTGGTAAATACTAGAAACATTAATTACTTATACATATACCATATATAGATAGTACGTTAAAAGATTTTTTTTTGAAGAATTACGTATACTTAAGTATAAAATATTATTTAAGAAAACCTTGAAGGCATTTGCTCATTGTTTAAATGTTGGAGTTATTTTAGGTTAATAGTTTGGTGTTTGCAATATATCACCAGCTACGATATAGTTTTTCTACTTTACGTTATAGTTTCTTCAGTTCAGCAGCAAACAATTCTTCTATATGCTTCTTTATTTGCCTTTGTGAACCGTTTTATGTGGAAAAATGAAATTGATGCCAAAATAGTTTGTTTAGCGAGAAAAATCAAGATCAATCATTTTATATCAAAATATTTACAGCTATATTTTGTTTCCGATCTTTTACACATTGTAATAATAGAAAATAATGGAATTCATAGTTTCTTTAGCTTTGGGTTCATCCAATAAATAAAGTTTTTCGAATCGTTGTCTAAGTATTTTGGATTATAAGCATTTATTAGCGCACCACAATATCTGTGTGTATCAATTCGATATTGTTTTTCGGGCTGTTTTGTCGTAATTGATGGGCTCTCTTCAGTTCAGGAATTAGAAGGAATTCATGGAATGTCGCTTTGTCCCCTTTCTAAATTTCTGATACCTTCAAAGGCCAATGCGAGCAACTTTCATTCGTCATTTTATATAATGTTTTATCGGTGATACTAGCAAAACTTTTAATGGCAAAAAGTCTGGAAAGGTATTTTAAATAAAATACAAAATGCTTTTCTCAAAAAATTAATTAAATGCAAGATAAAAGTAAGTATCTATTTTTTATTTTGTAATTGCATTTTAAATGCAAGTATTTCAAATAAATCACATCTCTGGGAAGTACTAAACGTGTATGCAAGAAAACAACATGTTATGTGTAATTCCAAATGCCACAAATCCACTAATTGCAAAAATATTAAAAACAAAATTTTTATTTTTTTATTAAGGCAACATGTAAAAAATGTATGAAACTACTATACCAAATGTAGGTAAGGAGATTAAAAACTTATTTCTTTTATTTCATTTAAAAGCTCTACTGTCTTCTTCTCTCTTTCTGTGTGTTTCAAATAAATGACGCAAATGGCATACAAGCGGGCCAATTGAGAACAGCTTCACAATTTTTCTATTCAACAATTAATATCGTAAAAAATTAGATGGCTTATAATTTTCCTCAGTATGTCCAGTTTATTCAAATCATAATCTAAATATAGTGGTGGTAATAAAGTTATCATCATAAGGTCGTCAATCCTGAGATTGGTTGGACACTGGAGGTACGTGTCTTTCCTATCCTGAGCTAATCTACGCATTTCCCTAAAACTAGAACAACCCATATCCTTGACTTTTTGCGAGCAATAATCTCATATAGGTCTACCTTTACCCCTCCTAACTCCCGTTTCTGCCTCTAATATGTCTCTGACTAGACCTTTATGTCTGAGAAGGTGTGCTACTAACCTTTCCGTCTATTTCTTATTGACTTCCATAGAGTCCTCTGTTCTCTCTGTTCTCTTATTCTTTCTGATACCTCTTCGTTTCTAACCTTCTTTATCACAAAAAGATGTTACTTCTATCCTCGCGAACGATTAATTTCGAAATTCGAAAAAGATTGTTAAAGGTGTCTGTTTGGACCGCGGTGCTGTATGGATACGAAACATGGACGGTGGATGCGGCGGAAAAGAAAAGGTTACAAGCTTTCGAAATGTGGTGTTACAGGCGAATGATTACGATACCGTGGATAGAGAAGGTTAGAAATGAAGAGGTATTAGAAAGAATAGTTGAACAGAGGACTCTACGGAAGTCAATAAGCAATAGGCGAGATAGGTTAGTAGGACACCTTCTCAGGCATGAAGGACTAATCAGAGACATATTGGAGGCAGAAACAGGAGTTAAGAGGAACGAAGGTAGACCTAGATTGTATTACTGTTTGTAAATAGATTAGGATGTGGAATGTGGATGTGGAGGTGCGTGTCCAACCAGTCTTAGGACTGACGACCTTATGATGATGATAATATATTTATTTTCAGTGATTTACATAATATGTTTCTTATTAGCTCGTTAAAAAGATCATCTTAACCTTAACGTGCATGGTTATCTAATAACATGACTCTGGTAAGAAACATATCGTGAACTAAAAATAGTTAAAAAGATAACCCAGTTTTGAATAATTATAAATAGTTACTATGAAATCTGAAATGAGCGCCTTTAATTAGCAGTAAATATTGNATCGCGCCACGTACATCAGAGAAAACCGAACTCCCTCCCCATAAAATCAGTAATACCCCATAACACTCAAAAGACCATGCAACCAGCACCCCGTCCAACAGTCCTCCCCGGAAGGACGCTACCCCAAAAATCCTACGCCAGGGCAATAACAGCAGCTCCCCCTTCCCCTCAAAAAGGCGATGCGGACCCAAACACCTCTGCAGCTTCATCTCTTGAACAGAGAATCCAGGTCATTAGAGGTAAATTGACTGAACTCGAACACTTACTCGAAGATAAGTCAATCGGTGTTGCTTGCATCACCGAAACTCATTCGTCAGAAAAAATCAAACTTTTCGTCCCAAACTTCTTATCCTACAGAAGGGACCGTGAAAACGCTGGTGCCGGTGGTGTAGTCATTCTTGTTAGGAACTCTTTCTCTATCTCTCTATATTCCCCTCCTTCGGACAGAGACCTTTCTGAACTGAATTATTTTTTTATATAAAACCGTTTATTTATTAATAGGACTGCGACCAATTTGTATATATATATATATATATACGCGGTAACAAAAAAGAAAACATGTTGCATCTTATCTAGTACCTACTATTGCTAAAATAAATTGCGCAAATAAAACTGCGAACTAATTTACGACGTTTATCGCCGTTACTAAAAAATCCTGCGTCACGTCATCGTACTAAAGAATCGGTATAATGCTGTAGCGAGCACGAGTGTGTTTGTGTGCGATTGGGCACACGTGTGCGTGAACGGCTTATCGATTCGCCGACTAGCCGCGGACGCCTTTCTTTATGTGCGCCGTATTTGTAAATGTGTGTGTTGTACCTGCGTTCTGGGAAAACAGTTAAACAGTTCAAAGAAAAAGTAGACTATCCGGATGTTTCCAGAAGGTCCCAGAAAGTAAACAAAAGAGTATTTAAAGGAAGAGACGATCGTCGAGAGGAGAAGAAACAAATTGACCGTTGCAGAAGTAAATCCAGAAATAAATTGACAGTGACAGCAGTGAAATAAATAGTGCAGTGAATAATGATATATCAACAGTAGTATAATTCATAACCTAAGTTTTAATAGTGTTTTTAAGTTCTTTAATAATTAGTGTAAATAAATAGTTTTTGTCGTTATCAGTCTTAGAAGTTAATTTTGTTAAACCTATGAATATTACAATACGTTTACATATCAACGTCTTCAGTACCTATTAGTAAACTCATTATTTTGTTTTTTAAACTTACACTTTCCAGTTCCTTTATTGTTACCCCCATTGCTATTGATAGATACAATTTGTCAGCATCATTTGCTTTTAAGTCATCTGCGTTTGTGATATCTCCAAGTGCTTGTGGTATTACTGAGGGTTTAACTGATACGAAAACAACATCCGACTTCTTAACCACAGGTATATTTTCAAATACAGATTCAGCTCCAATACTCTGCAAAATTATTACATTACAATTCAAATAAAGTTACTGAAATAAAGCTTCTCTGTGTTATAAGATTACGGAATAATATAGAAGCGGAGTATAAATTAGCACGAAGGAACTTGTACAGGGAAAAACGGTATCTTGTCCCTAGAATCGATTAGCTACTCAAACCTCTAATTGTGGTGTGTTTCCCGTAGACGATGCTCAGCGTATTTATATTAATTTACAAGGTGAAAAAGTACTTTGTGGTTGTAGACTTGGGTAGTGATTTATTTTAAATCGTGATAGTGTAGTAGTACAAGTTAGAGGACAAGTGGTAAAAGTGGAGTTAGTTTGTATATGGACGAGTTACTACTGATATAATTACTGTGACGAATACATAAGCATTATAAATACCGCATGATATAAATAACTAATAATTTAAGTATCTAAATAGTATTAATATGCGAATAAGTAACTGTAAAATAAATACCCCTTAAATAAATAAAATAATTACTAACTCGTTGCAATTGACGTCAGGTGTAAAGTTCAAGATAGTCAACAAGAAAAGAATATTCTAGTCAAATTTTCGAAAAATTAATGGATTTAAAACTCGTCGACTTGAATCAAGAGCTAGAATACTGAAATGAAGATATGTCCACTAATATTGAAGACATATGGGAACAAAAATAGAGGAAATCTTAAATCAAAATTCAAAAACATTAAAAAGTGCAATTACAATTAAAACAATTAAAATTAAGTAAAATTCTAGAGCATTAGAAAAATTTGAGTAAAAATTAAATCGAAATTTTAATATTAAAGAAAATTCAAAAAGCTTTAGAAGGAAAATTCAAGAAAATTAGAAAAACTGAACCAAATTGAAAGAATTGAATGATAATTCTAGGACAGAAGTTAAATCAGAATTCTAAAGCATCAAAAGAAAAATCATGGAAAATAAACTTGAATGTCAAATAAAAGAGATGGATACACGGATTAAAGAGTTAGAGGTAAAGTTCCTGAAGATAACTATATCAGAAAAGGTCGATAACAAGTTACCACGAAAGCATGATATATGACCATTATTGAGGAAACTATTAACGCGAAGATGTACCTATAAAGTTCGATGGAAAGATTATGAAGTACTTTCTTAACACAATTCAAAGCTGCTGCAGTAAGTAATGCATGAATATCAAAGGAGAAAACCACTTACACTTATCTACGCCTTACGCGATGTTACTAGGAAAATTTTAAATACACTACGACCTGAAGAACCTGGAAATGCGATACAGTAAGGCGCGTTCGACATCAGTCTATCACATCCAACTGAGAAACCGGTGTCAAAAGACAGAGAAAGGCTTGCACGAATAATCGACAGATTTCGTCTCGCCTATCCAAATTTACCCGACGATACCCTAAAGAAGTTGTCCATCGGCTCTTTCATCGTTGGATTGAAGGCTGATGACATACAACGACTTCGACTGGACAAGTCAAAAATTCTTGCCGATATATTAGCCCGAGGATCAAGTAGCATGTTGAATAAAAAACTTCAAGAATAAAATTTTCATATAGAACATCGAGCTGAAAATAACCGCAAGAATACCGAAGACCATGCTCGGAAAATTGTAACTAGGCGCGTCGAGGAGCACCAAGAAGTTAGAAGCATAACTGTCACGGATGGTTAGTGGCACCCTGATAACATCAAGGCAGAACAAGACTCTGATTGGATCCTGAGAATGCTCCAAGAATGGAAAATTGAAGTAAAATGACTGACCTGGCAAGTGACTGCTAAATCTATCGAAGTGAAAGGTTAGAAATGAAAAGGTATTAGAAATAATAGAACATAGGAGTCTATGGAAGTCAATAAGAAATAGGCGAGATAGGTTAGTAGGACACCTTCTCAGGCATGAAGGTCTAGTCAAAGACATATTAGAGGCAGAGGGGTAGAGGTAGACCAAGATTAGATTGCTGTTCGCAAATAGTTAAGGATGCGGGTTGTTGTATAGGGTTGTTCGGAAAGTCATTTCGTTTTTTTTTTGTGGAAATGAAAGACAGTTTTCGTATAATAAACAAATACTTTATTAAATTATATATTGACCGTTCTGGTCCAACACCTTTTGCCATCTTTCTGGTAGTAGCATAATTCCACGCTCATAAAATTTTTGGTCTTTGCTGGCAAAAAACTGATCGAGGAGGTTTTTGACCTCCTCATTTGAGGTGAAGGTTTTACCGTCTAAAAAATTTTGGAGTGACCGGAACAAATAATAATCCGATGGTGCCAGGTCTGGAGAATATGGTGGGTGTAGCATTGTATCCCATTCAAGCTGTAAAAGCTTTTGGCGAGTGACCAAACTTGTGTGAGGTCTCGCGTTGTCTTGGTGAAACACTACACCTTTCCTGTTGATTAGTTCTGACCTTTTCTGTTGAAGTGCATCATTCAGTTTGTCCAGCTGATGACAGTAGACTTCCGAATTAATCGTTGTGTTATCCGGTAAAAGCTCAAAAAAAACGATTCCTTTAAAATCCCACCAAACAGACAGCATCACCTTTTTTTGGTGAATATCGGCTTTGGAAATGGTTTGAGCCGGTTCATCTTTTTTGCTCCATGACCTCTTGCGTTTGACGTTGTTGTATACAACCCATTTTTCGTCCCCAGTGATGATGCGCTTCAAAAACGGATCATTTTCGTGACGTTTGAGAAGCGAATCGCAGACGTCAATGCGGCGACACAGATTTCTCTCTGTGAGAACATGGGGAACCCATACATCGAGCTTCGAGGATAATCCCAGGCCTTTCAAGTGGTCATAAACTGTTGAATTTGATAAATTTAACCTCAATCCGATCTCACGTGTTGTTATTCGCCGGTTCACATCAACTAATGCCTTTATCGCGTCTTTATCAGCTTCAACCGGCCTTCCCGAACGTGGTGCATCTTCGACATCAAAATTGCCGGATCGAAATTTAGCGAACCAGTTCTGGCACTGGCGTACTGTCAACACACCTTCTCCATACACATCAGTCAATTTCTTTCTGGCTTGAACAGCATTTTTACCCTTTCTGTAGTAAAACAGTAAGATATGTCGAAAATGCTGCTTATCGCTCTCCATATTTAAAAGGGCACCAACCAAAAACTACTGCGTAGAATTAATTGGAATTTTTCACACACAAGCCTTACTATATGAGCTCTCAAAGCATATAAAAATTATACGGCTTAAATGTGAAGTTGGGTGCAAAAGAATACAATTAAATCCTCTGTCGGGAAAAAACGAAATGAGTTTCCGAACAACCCTATAGTTTTAGGGAAATGCGACGAGTAGCTCAGGATAGGAAAGAGTGGAGGCACGTGTCCAACCAGTCTTAGGACTGACGACCTTATGATAATATGATGATGATGGTTACATATCTACTACCTAGTCCCTACGCTGTGGGTTAAGGTCGACAAGTCAACATTTGTATGGACTTTGTCGAACATTTTTGAATTCTACAAAATGTAGCAATATTCTACAGAATGCGTTTACGACACTGTTTCTATTAAATAATTAATAATATTGGAGTTGGTCGATATTTTGTCGACGTGCTGACAAAATTCTGTGAAATCAAAATCGCGATCCACGTCTGACAATTTCGACAGAATACTGACCACTGTGAAGCTTTTACTCCAAATAACGAAATTTAATGAATGAAAATGTTCCTTTCGTTTATATTAATGGTTACATGTTTTGTAAATATTTATTTAACATATTAAGTGAGAAACCTCTGTAACAAAAATTTCCTTATTTTGTAGATATATTCAATTTTTATAATAAAAATTTTTGGACTAATTAATAACTACAAACCTGGAATGCTTCTGCAGATGGTAAGTCAGAAGGGTGGACACTTGCTATCATCATTTCTCCTTTTGATAATCCTGGAAAGAAGTATGTCCTTTTAAAATTAATTTATTTAAGACATTATACTAATCGTAAGTTTGAATAACTGTAATGAGTACCGACAATGAACAGAAAGAGACAAAATGTATTTCACTGCATTGTCGCACATTAAAAAAATAAATTCAACTTTGTCACCACCACGTTGAAATAGATAGGTATTGCATATTTGTTAGAACAATAAAATTACATATTTGTTTTTTACATCACAAGCTTTTACAGTTTCAATAATTAATAACTTATAGGGTAAAACAAAACTAAGAAGTGCTGGAATTTTTTTACATTCATTGTTTCGACCGATACAGTCATCCTCAGGTATACAAAAACTAAAACCTGAAATTATAAATACAACCAAAAGCATGACTTTACCCAATCGTAAGAACCATTGACGCATCAACATGTAACCTGGTAACAGCGGGAGTTTACCGTAGGTATACCTTGTGAATGTGCAGAGAACTTTGGGATGACGCAGCACAGTTAATTAACACGGAAAAAGGAACACTAACGAAGAATAAGATTATTTCAACATGAGAAATCCGTAATACCCTTGTCACGCGTTTAAGAAATGTCTTACCATAGATTTCAAAGATACAACTGTTCTGGTTAGAACTTAAAAATTCTACAATCTGACCAGAAGGAAAAATGGGAGAATATCTCAACAACATAAATAAAGACGATAAGTTACATATCAGCTAGTATTGAAAATCTATAGTGAAGAATGTGTCACTAACTGAAAAAAAATAAATAGGCAAGGTAATATGGATGCAGAGTAGATAAAGTTAGGTTGAAGTTGAGTAAGGTCATCTCAGTTACGTTAAAATTTCAACTTCTTTCCTCCGCTTCTTGCACTACGACGATTCGCCACTATCTACAAACACTTGTTCATTGTTGTACAAGGTCATCTACTCAGCCTGCCTTTCCGACAGTCCTATAACATTATGTACATAGTCGTAGATTTTAGTGCCTTATTTTCCTTGTTCTACCTCTAATAGAGTTGAAAACTGTGTGGATATAGATTACAATAATGTGAAAATTAGGACTAATTCGTATTTTTAACGTTAGCGACGAAGAAATCGATTAAGATTGTCACCATTTTATTTTTTATTACATTTGACACATCCATACAAAAATTAATTTTAAGTTCATATAGCGAAAAGCAGTTGGAAGGATACCGAAAAACTATTAACATTTACATCATTTACTTCTCTTATTCCTCTTAGCAAATGCGTACTAGTATTCAAAATAGTTTCCATTGGAAGTAAAAGAAAGAAGTGGAAGAAATTCATTGTGCTCGGCATTTTGTCGAAACCGTTCGCAATTTCGACAGAAGACCGACCAACCCTACTTGTTGACTCAAGACAGCGTTTTATGAAGTACCACAAAAGGCGTAGTGAACGCCATCTGTGGCTTTAGTGCACATTTAGTGAAAATCAGTAAATTCAACAAGGTCAATTTGTGTTAATGGATATCTACTTGCTGAACTGAACACACGCCGTAGCTCACCCTACGTGATAGGCAGTTCAGCAAGTAGATATCCATCAGCATAAATGAGCCTTGTTGAATTTACTGATTTTCACTAAATGTGCACTATAGCTACAGATGGCGTTCATCACGCCGTTTGTGGTACTTCAAAAAACATTTAAGAATGAATCTATCAACCTTTTTATGCTTTTCGAAAGAACTTGGCAAGGTATGCGGCCTCAGCGTAAAAGTTGAGCCAAAAAGGGCCACTAAAGACATTTCAAAATGCCGCCGTTGTGTGAAATTCTTCCACACTGCCAATTACTATCACGCCGCCTGGATCTGTTCCCTTCTCTGGTCGCAACCTCATCACTGTCGAATGTAAGGCAAAGGAAAGATGCCACCCCTTCCTGTGCTTATTGCAAAGGAAGTCATCGCGCCACGTACATCAGAGAAAACCGAACTCCCTCCCCATAAAATCAGTAATACCCCATAACACTCAAAAGACCATGCAACCAGCACCCCGTCCAACAGTCCTCCCCGGAAGGACGCTACCCCAAAAATCCTACGCCAGGGCAATAACAGCAGCTCCCCCTTCCCCTCAAAAAGGCGATGCGGACCCAAACACCTCTGCAGCTTCATCTCTTGAACAGAGAATCCAGGTCATTAGAGGTAAATTGACTGAACTCGAACACTTACTCGAAGATAAGTCAATCGGTGTTGCTTGCATCACCGAAACTCATTCGTCAGAAAAAATCAAACTTTTCGTCCCAAACTTCTTATCCTACAGAAGGGACCGTGAAAACGCTGGTGCCGGTGGTGTAGTCATTCTTGTTAGGAACTCTTTCTCTATCTCTCTATATTCCCCTCCTTCGGACAGAGACCTTTCTGAACTGAATTATTTTTTTATATAAAACCGTTTATTTATTAATAGGACTGCGACCAATTTGTATATATATATATATATATACGCGGTAACAAAAAAGAAAACATGTTGCATCTTATCTAGTACCTACTAAAAGATGAGGTTAAAGGTTATTTTTATTTATCAATGGAAAATTTAAGAAGTATAACGAATCGTATCCTTATTTATTTTCTAAAATGGAGATACGATGATAATCGTTATTGCAAAAATTGCTTCTCTTGCGTCTTTACTTTTTAAGTGTACGTCAATGTGGGTACAAATAAAATTGTAACTTGTTGAATTTCAATAACTGAACAAGTTTTAATTCTATTTAATGACCAGGGTAGTTACTTGTTACTTTGTTGCAGTTGTGCTTTTATCAGTAATCGATTGTAATTGATCAATTTAATTCAAAAACTCTTCAGATTCATTAAAAGCGTTGACGTTGAAAGTTATATATCATTATTCTTTCTGATTTCTTGTGGTGGTGACATCCATTCTAATTGAAATAAGTGTAGTGGTTTCATTATTTCACTTAGTCTATGTATATGTATTTTTACATGCCTTACATTTTAAAAATCCTAACTCACTGACTCATCAACGCGTAGACTAAACTCTTGAGCCTATCTGGCTATCTAGATGAAATTTTGCACAAAGGTTTCCTTTATAATGTATACAAGGAATAAGCAAAGTTTGTATAGAAACGGTTTCGCTCATCAAATCGAGCTGCTTACAACTTTTAATATCATATAATGATCAGGGGTGGCTAACCCAAATGGTCTTGCAGGCTACTATTCACAAGAATATTGTTTTAAAATCAAAGTTTATTTTTTTTCTCATAATATCTACAGTCAATTTTTGAATGTACGAATGTGCAAATAATTTATTCTTTTATTACATTGGTTTTCACTGTTTTGGCCATTATAATGTAAATATATTTTGTAAATCTGTGAAAAATGTACAAAGTGGGCCAGGGGTTGACCACCCCATTAAGAATGTAAGTACTATAATTTTGTGAAGCCAAGATCGTCTTTTTATATTGCAAATTAGCGTTTTGGTATTCTGATGGTACCTAAGACTATTGCAATTCGTGAAGTAGTTCTTTACAAATCCATTAAGAGCAAGATTACTAAGAGAGAATTATTTAATTCGAAAGTAACTTTAATTGAATTGTATTAAGTGAAATTACCTGCTGAAATAAAGCCTTTTGCCATAGCTTGTGCCATTTTTCCACCTCCTATAAATCCAATTTTCAACAATTTACTAGTCATTTTAACAAAAATCACAAACCACCACGTAACTTATAGTATGTTTTTCTCTTAACAAGAGAAAAGGTATATAATCACAGCCACTGTTTACAAACACCAGAATTATTATTTCAGAAGTTAAATGGTTTCTTATCTCTATAAAACTGCTCGTAATGGAAACGCCGATGTGTGCTAAATACGTCAATTTAAGTTATACATATAGAATTGTAGCTAATAATCATTTAGATTTTTGTGTTCAAAATGATTATATCATCTGTGCATAAGCAACTTACTGACCCTTGTATCTTCATTCTGAATATATGTAAATAAAATTCCAAATAATGTTTGTAAGCCGCACTGTGTGTATGTATTAGAATGACTTATCAGTAAAAACAAGTATTTTTATATGAAATATACGCATGTATTAGTGCTTTTATAAAAGTTAATGGAATCGATTACGCTTATTTTCCCATTGTAACGAAGTACATAAACTGCATGCCAATATAATAGAAACGATAAAGGCTAAGTCGTAAAACGAACAATTAAGAGTAATAAAATGCTTCATTAAATGCCTTTTTTGACACATTCGTTATTATAAGCGCCCGCACTGTGAATAAATGCTTTTTATATGATTAGAAAGCAATTGATAAATATGTTAATTACCAACGTTAAAATTCTTTATGTTTTAATTTTATATGTATTAGGTTTCTACAAAGGGTCTGTCAATAAATTAATTATGCAGGGAGGTGAGAGTGGAGAGTCCAGCTGGGCAATACGGTCTTGCTAGGTGGGGGTGGAAGGGGGTTAAGGATTGCGTTACGTTACGTTTTTAAAATTTATTTAAAATCGAACTATTATTAGGACTTAAAAAGCTCTTATTTTAATTAAAGCCTTTACCATGAACGCGTCATGCAACATAAGTTATGGACAGCCACAAAGATGTATGTAATCGAATTAATAATATTTCAAACGTCGCGTAACGTCACGTTTCATTGGTCTTCTTCGCTTTCGTCGTCATATATTATCAGACTTGATAGTTGTCCCCATACCTCCTTTGTATTCGTATTTTATAGGCGTTGTTCACCTCGTCGTGCTGATTAAATATATGCGTTGGGTTCAGAAACAATTCCTTCCGCTATTTTTGGGTAGTTGAAAAAAGCAAGTCAAATTACCAAACCAAATACATTCGAATTAAACAAAAACAAGGACTTTTTGTGTTCTATATTACTGAACAGTGCAGCTACACGATTTCCAGTCATGTTTACTGGACATTAACAGCAGTTCAAATTGCCTTTCGTTTTTAGTTCTTTTCTGTCCCTGACGATGGTAACCTAACTACCACAAACTACTTCGGACGTTTAGTATTGTTACAGTATAAAGATCTATACAGTAGTCACTCTCAAGTCACCTGGACGCCTTTCCTGCCGACGCTTCACCACTTAATCATAGAGTTTCCCGCTAAGCAGGAGCTGGCTTGTAGAAGTCACAGTACAAATACATTTTGTACCTAAACACTTCGGTAAAGCTATTGAACCGTCATCGTATATGGCAGTTCAACGCTTTTAACGTTAATTTATGACGCCATACAAAAATATCTGTATTTTAGGCAGGTCAGAGGAGTGACCCTACTGTATAGATCTTTATAGTGTTGTATCGCGTTTTGGCGTTAGAGCTTTAGCTATTTAGGGTGTTCTACAATACCGCCAAAATTTTCCAGTCTTCTAGATTAAAAGATATAAATAAGTCCTGAAACAACCAAACACTACTGAGCTGAAGGGGGAGGTATGACAATTAGATTAGATGGACAATAAAAATATATGTTAACAATGAGTGTTTCATCGTTTTGGAAAAAGTAGATAAATAAAACTCTTTGCATAAAAGATTGCATAATTTTGGATAACGCAGTAGTTTCTTATGATCGAAATCACAAAACGAAGAGTTTTGAACATATTGTCCCATAGACTATGCGGTAGTTAATAGTAGGGGGTGAGAAGAAATGCTCAATTTTCAAGTTAAAAAAATGATAGGCTCGGGCCACCTACCACTAAAAAATGTGTTAAAAATAGAAAGCAAGGAATAAGGAGGTAAAGAAGTGTATAAGGAAGTACTTGACTGGGAGAAGGGAGCAATACGAGAGTTTAGAAAGACAGTGGAGAAAAGGATCAAAGGGATAAACTACTTAATTTTTCATTAAAACTAATAGTCATATATAACAATATGATCATAGTAATGCAATTGAAATGTCAAGTATTATTTGTAATTATTATTAATGAATAATTTAAAAAAAACTCCACTTGCTATAATATCTCAATTTTCAAGCACAAATAACGCGCAATTAATTTGCATAAATTAAATTTCGATACCTTAGTGGGTTTTGAATAAATCGACTTTGAATTTCCCCTGAACCCGCGATAGTTTTCCTTTCTTTTTAAACAAAATTGATGAACGCACAATTAGAATTAGAACCCGCAAACGATGCACAATTTATTCGTAAAGTTTAAATCAGAAGATTATTTATATTGGGTGCCAGTTTCGCAGATCTGGCTTCAATTTCTATTATGAAAGGTAGAAGTAAAGAGAACTAACTCTGTTATGAAAAAAAGAGACCGTCAAACTGTGTTAAATTATTGAACTGTTATTTACTGCTTTTTTTCAACCTTGCCCCATATGTGGCGGTTCTTCTTACTCTACACTTCATGATTTCTATGATACTCGCCTTATAAGGTTTCCACCATAGACATATAATAATGGACATGCCCTAGCCGTATGTCGTTGTAATAATTTCTTGGCTTGAAAAGAGTGAGGAAGATGGCGTATGGTTTCGGGCTAGTGCTATCTCTTTCATGACACCCTACGCACTATCGTGAGAGAGATGGATATTGTCCGAAACGTCGTTCCAGCTCTTTCTTTTATTGTACCACAATTCTGATTACTAAGGCATGTCCACTAGTAAATGTCGATGGTTTCCACCTTGTCTATAGTTTCCATCACTGTATCACACAAAGACATATATTAATGGACGTGTCTTACTCGTATGTTGTTGTAATAATTTCTTGGCTCGAAAAGTGAGAGAGATGACGTATGGTTTCGGACTAGTGCTATCTCTTTCATGACACTTCACGCACTATCGTGAGAGAGATGGGTATTGTCCGAAACGTCGTTCCATCTCTTTTTGCTGTACCACAATTCTGACCGCTAAGGCATGTCCATTAGTAAACGTCGATGGTATCACACACCCTCGTGGGTGTCATCCTAAATACTAAATTGCCGACGCCTTTTTAATGAGGAATGCAAACAAATTTAGTACCATTAGTAAAAAGAAAAAAATTTTCTTCACTAATAAATAAAAGTAAAATAACATCATATACTGGATGGTTAACACATGGATTTCGAAATGATTTGAGTTTTTCAAAAAAAGAAATTGTACAACGTAGGTAGCTCACATGCACACAGCACCGTTACCAGTCAGTGGCTGCATGGATAAACACAATACATCGTTCTATCATGTTTCATTAAATTTTTCCAAGAATTTAAGGTGAATAAAATATGAGTCCATTTCAAGAAAACACTTTTTCTTTCTACTTACTGTACATCACTGAAATACCTATTCCTATAAATGTTCACAGATAATAATTATAATCATAGGAAGGGACGCGGCCATATTCTCTTAAACGTATCTTTTTAACTGAAACAGTTAGCTTTATTTTGATTTTTTAAATTCATAATAAAAAAAGTTTTTCTGGAACAGTTTTGATTGATTTTTTATTGAACTAAAAATCTACAGTAATAATTCTTATATCATCTGTGCATAA